ACTGATGGAAGTGGTGGTCAGCCTGGAACGTAGCTGGTCAATGTAACGTTTCCACGCTCTGCCATTAGTGGTTAGTAGGTGGTAGGAGCGGGGGGCTGTGACTTTTATTTGAGCAGTAATCCACAGGGGATCCTCTGAAAATTTTTTTGCAAATACAAGGTCTCCTACCTTAAAGGCACAGTGCTTGCTACTGGAGCCCGGGGTTTTTCCGGGGTGTAAGCAGGGTGTAACCGGTCTAGAGGCGATCTGAGTTTCCTGGCCATCAGGAGTTCAGCTGGGCTCTTGTTAGTCATGCTGTTAGGTGTGATGTGCTGGAGAAGGAGCATCCTAGTGACCTTGTTGTGGATGTTTCCTTGTTCCATTTTTTGTAGAGTTTTTTCTGTGAACTGAACCATTTGTTCAGCTCTACCATTCGCCGCTGGATTCACCGGCGATGTCAGTGCATGTCGAATGCCACGGTCTGCTAGGTATTGTTCGAAGGCTAAGGCAGTAAATTGGGGCCCATTGTCGCATACCAGAACATCGGGTAGGCCGTGTGTTGCAAAAAGTCTGTTCAATTTCTTGATGACTGCATCTGTGGTGGTTGTTTTCATTTTATTAACCTCGAGCCAGTTAGAATATGCGTCTACTGTTATTAGAAAAGTATGCCCTTTTGTAAGTCCCGCAAAGTCGATATGAATATGCGACCAGGGACCTCTGGGTGTTTCCCATTCTGCTGGTGGAGCTTTTGGTGGGGCTGAGCGGGTTTCTTGGCATCTGTTACAGGAGGCGACCCAGGTTTCAATTTGTTTGTCCATACTTGGTCACCAGGAGTAACTCTGCGCCAGCGCTTTCATACGCACGATGCTCAGGTGTCCATTGTGTAGCAATTGTAGGACTTTTTTTTGTAGTCTTGCTGGTTTGACCACTCGGTCTCCCCATAATACGCACCCTCTTTGTGAGAAAAGTTCTGTTTGTCTGTTCTTGAAGGGTTTAAAGGTTTTGTTGGGCTTGTTTTCTGGCCATCCCCTCTCCACCCAGCCAAGAACTCATGCCAAACATGGGTCTTTTTTGGTTTCAAAGGCGATGTCCTGAGCTGTTAGTGGTGGTGAAGGGATTGTCTCAATTTGTAGTATTGGTAGCATGGGAGCTGGGTCATCTTGCAGTTCGGGTAGTGGAGAGCGGCTTAAGGCGTCTGCATGGGGAATAGTTTTTCCAGGGCGATGCCTCAGTTGATAGTCGTAGGTGGCTAGGAACTCCGACCATCGTGTCATTCTGGGGGATAGAATGTGTGGAGTAGGTTTGTCACCTGCCAGGATGCCAAGTAATGGTTTATGATCTGTGATGATGGAAAATGATCTCCCATATACATATTCATGGAACCTTTTGATTGCAGATACAATTGCAAGGGCTTCCTTGTCTAGGTGGCTATAGTTTCTTTCTGTTTTTGACAAGGTTCTCAAAAAAATGCAATAGGTGCCTCAGTACCGTTTGGTAGGACGTGGCTCAGGATGGCCCCCACCCCAAAAGGTGAGGCATCCCAAGTCACAGTCAATGGGAGTGTTTCGTTATATTGTATGAGCACTGCATCTGAAGTGAGAAGGTCCTTTACTTGTTGGAAAGTATGTTCCTCCCGTCGTCCCCAAATCCAGGAGGCCCTTTTATCAAGGAGTCTATGAAGGGGTTCAGCAACGGTCGCCTTCTGGGGTAGGAAAATGTTATAAAAGTTAATGAGTCCCAGGAAGGCTTGAAGGTCTGTTTTGTTTTTGGGTCTTAGGGCATTTTTGATGGCTGCCAATTTCTTTTCTGTAGGGTGAATTCTTTGTTTGTCAAGGAGGTAACCAAGAAATTCAACCCTTTCTGTGCATAACTGGCACTTTAACTTTTTAACCTTGAGGCCAGCATCTTTGAACCTTTGTAGGACTGTTCTGCGGCGTTTCTCTAAATGACTCTTCGTTGGGGCAGCTATTAACACGTCATCAAAATAGGGCACGACCCCTTTTATGCCTTGCAATAGTCTCTCCATCAGGCTTTGAAAAATGCCTGGTGCTACGCTGACTCCAAACTGGAGCCTGTTACATTTGAACGTGCCTCGATGTGTAACTATAATTTGGGCTTCGGCGGTTTCGGCATCGACTGGCAGCTGTTGATAAGCTTGGGCCAGATCAAGCTTTACGAATATTCTGCTACCCCCAAGTGAATGTAGGAGATGTTGGACGATTGGTACCGGATAGGCGCTCTGCTGCAGTGCGTGGTTGAGGGTGGCCTTGTAGTCTCCACAGATTCTCAAAGACCCGTCAGGTTTTATGGAGGTGACAATTGGTGTCTCCCATCGGGTGTGATCAATGGGTTCTAACATGCCTTGTGCAATTAATTTGTCCAGTTGCTCATCAATTTTGGGTTTGAGAGCAAAGGGAACTCGGCGTGGTTTTAGGCGAATGGGCACAATGTCAGGGCAGAGATTAAATGAAATAGGGGACCCTTTGTACTTGTCTAAATTTTTGCTGAAAACTTCCTGGAAATCCTGGACGAGGGCCGCTTCCCAGTCATCGTCTTCAGTATGGTGGATGCCAGCCATTCCGATTCCTAATGGCGCAAACCACTGAAGGCCCAGTAGGCTTGGTCGGTCTCTATCAACAATGGTGAGTGGTAGTATTGCAGTATGTCCCTTGAAAGAGACCTGGAAATGGCTGGTACCCACAACTGGAATCCGGTTGCCTTGGTAATCTTTTAAAATGAGTCTCTGACTGCTGAGATCTCGGCGGCAGATGTTGGGAATCAGTTGTTTAAGGGTTTTCCAGGAGACTATGACTAGACCCGGAGTCTACTTCCATGATGCATGGTTGATTTTCAATGGTGACTTCTACACGGATTTTTTTTGTATCTAGTGATGAAGCGTGGCTGATGGTGATGGTCTGATGTGCCTCTTCTCGTCTGGGTACGCCAGTAAACCTTCGGGGTCTGTTGTACTGGTTCCACTGGTTGCTTGGGCAGTCCCTCTGTGTGGTGGGGTTGCCATCGGTTCTTTTTGGGCTGTTCCCTCTCCATCTGGGGATGGAGCCTCTTTTATTCCTGCATATGTCATAGCAATATGTCCTCGTTTTTCACCAAAATGACAGATGGCATCTAGGAATCTGCACTCGGATTGTGGGTGGTTCCCACCACATCCAGCACATTGGTAGTTTGATTTAGGACCTCGCTGGTCCCGTTGCTCATGTTCTGACTGGAGTCTGTGGACTTCTTCCTCCTCACTGTCTGAGGAGAATTCGACATCTTCGTGATAGGTAGCTGATGTGTATTTGTCTGAAGGCTTCCCAGTATCGTTGGTGGGTTGGCGGTTGGCCCCACTGGTTTGGCGCATTCGTGCTGCTGATTTACGAGTGGCTTCAGCGGCAGTGGCTTCTGCTATGGAATCTGCAAGGGAAATGTCTCCTTTGGCCATGATCTTGCTTTGGACAGTTGGATCTCTCAGGCCAAGGACAATTTGGTCTCTCATGGCTTCTTCTAGATTGACGAAGCCACATAATCCACCCAGGTTTCTCCGGTCAGCCACAAAATCCCCGATGCTCTCACCTTCACGCTGATCCCTCTGGTAAAACTCGTGCCTGTGAATGAGAGTTGGTACTGCTGGGGCGTAATGGTTGCAAAGGATGGGAGCAAGGGTATCCCAGTCCATTGTTTTGACTTCAGCTGGTTCCGCAAGTGCTTTAGCCATTTTAGAAACGGGGTCTGCAATGCGTCAGAAAGACTGCTCGTTTCTTGCTGGGCATGGCATCTTTAAGGTTGTTGGACTCCAGGAACATTTGAAATCTGTTCCATATATGAGTCCCAGTCCTCGCTGGCTGGATCGAATGGAGCGGGTGGAATAGCGCTGCTGGCCATGTCGCCGATGTTGCGCTCTGTCAGTCACATGCTCCTTCAGCTTCAGCGAGTGTTCAGTAGGCTTCATTGTCTCCGCATCCTATCCTCGTCTCCAGTGTTAGATCTGGGAGGATGGGTCCAAGGACGGAGACAAGACTCAGATAACAACAACAGCTCTTTATTAGTGACTTCAGATCTGAGCGAAATATCCCAGCCGCAGCAGCCCCTTATATAGGGCTGGCTGTGGCTAGGCAGCCAATGACGGTGATTTGAGTTTTCCGTGCTTGGCTGGACCAATCGTGGCAGCCCGTTTACTAGCCAATCGGATCAGTCTGAGGTGACCAATCACGATCTGCTATCAGCGGGCCAATCCGAGTTGCAGGCTTTCGAGCCTGCTAGTCCGGAACACATACTGTTAAAATGTCTATCCTAGTTTATATATTTCTAACCCAAATAACTGTTAGGTGACTTACATTTCTAACACCGGGTATGAATGGTTTAAGAATAAAAAGAAATCAAAATGGCAATTAGGTAAAGAGTAAGAAACTGCAAATACTTACATCTATATTCATATCTATCTATATTTATTTATATATTAAGTTGAAATTGTATAATGAAAGAAATGTGTATATAGAAAGATGATAAGGAAATGTAAAAGATGTCATGATGTTGATACAATGATGTATAAAGTTTTATTTTATGTTTTTAAAATTTGAAAACTAAATAAAATTTAATAATTGTTTTTAAAAAAGGAAAATGAAAATTACAATGAATTCTATATAGCTTTCTTATGGTTGCTTTTGTTTCTGAGTTTCTGGGGGTTCTCCTAGAATCACAACTCCTGCTCAAAAGCAGGTGGCAGCCATGACTAAGATAATCTTTAAGCAATTTCTCATGGTGCCTTTTCCTGGATCATGAGGCCCATGCAGTCACTCATGTCCTGTTTATCTCTTGGTTGGATTATTGCAACATGCTCTACATGGGGCTACCCTTGAAGTGTATTTCCAAGCGATAACTGGAGGAGAATGCAGCAGTGTAGACAGAGAAATTAAGACCATGTGAAATGGTGAGCACGGTGCTTAGGCATTTCAAATTGATAAGTTACTTTTAAAAAAACTAATAATTCCTTGCCCATGTATAGAACTACAATAAATCCAAACCTTCTCCATCTGAAGAAGATAGTAATCAATAAAATCTTGTGGCTCATGCAGAGAGTGAGATTCCTTGTGTTTCTCGATTTCCTGCTTTGCAAACGCTAGGATAATATCCAGAGAAGCCATGACTTTCTTGTGAGGGCCTGGGAGGTACCTCATTAACTGTGGGAACAAATCATACACCTAACAGAAAAAGAAGAGGAAAAGTTATTTATTTCCCATCCAGGTAAAGCAGGGAAGAGTCAAATACATCATAAGTCATGAGTCCCTGTTTGTCCACAATAGTATCCAATGAGAAATTATTATGTGCTCTGCTTCAGGTTATAATGAAATGTTGACAAGCATATCACATGGCTACATTCTGGGCCTTGCATTATTTTCTCACTCTTTCTGAAATGACAAAAAATTATGGGTGGCCATAAGGATAAGAAAACACCTCAGAGAACAGGACAAAATCTTGAAAGGAACACATGGAAAATCTTACATATGAGTAGGAAAAATCAAAGGGATATAAAATACAATGGCTGATCTTCTTCCCCGGCTCTACGTTGCACAGGAGGATGGGGCTGACTGCTGCGTGGGGGAGGCACTGGTTGCCGCTGTGGGCTCTTTCTTCTTCTGCTGGGTAGAGGAGGGGAGCTGTGATCTCACCTGCCTCTCCTCACTTCAGAAGGCTCTGTGGAAATTCCTCTCCACTTTGGGTGGCATAATGCACCATCATCTCTAATGGTAGCCCGGTCAAATTCCTTTCTCAGCTGCTCTATCGATCTCCCCAGGGATCCCATCAGGAGCTTTGGGGCTCTGGCTTGTTCCCAGTCCCACATCCATTCCACTCTTCTCAGCTTGCTCAGGGGAAAAGGGTAGCTTAACTTCCTAAGTTATGGGGAGTTTTGTTTCCCACAAGTACTCATCTGTTTTTCTTCCCTTCACTAGATCAGGTTTCTCCACTTTGGCTGTAATTATATTGTCAGCTTCTGTTTGCATTTGGGTTGCTTCCAGCAAGCTCTCCTCTGATAATCTCCCTTCTGCCATGTCAGACTGTCTTTCTCTCCATGAATTCCATCTACCTTTGAAAACATTTATGGAATGCAAGCTGCCCACTGCTCCCCCCTCTCTTTCTGTTGGCAACGCTGTTGGCCACCAGACCTGAAATTCTAGACCTAGAAAACCTTGAATTACGCTGTCTTCGATCTGATCTAAGTATGGTATATAAAACCATACATTGCAATGACTTACCAGTCAATGAATACTTCAGCTTCAACCATAACAACACAAGAGCACACAATAGATACAAACTCAAGGTTAACCGCACCAAACTTGATTGCAGGAAATACGACTTCAGCAACAGAGTGGTCAATGTCTGGAATACTCTACCTGACTCTGTGGTTTCTTCCGCAAACCCCAAAAACTTTAACCTTAGAGACAGCATCCATTTCATGTATTCATAACTATGTATATACTTATACCTATTATCTTGTAAGCAATTGACAAATCAAATAAATCAAATAAAAAATAAATAAAACTCTAAAAAGACCATAGAGCTGTTTTATGAGTTGACACACTAGCTTTGTTTTTGCTCAGATTTCCTAAGGCCCATTTCATTTCACATTCTAGGATGTCTGGCTCGAGGTCAGTGACCACCCCACCATGATTATCAGAGACGTTAAGCTCATTCTTGTATGGTTCTTCTGTGTGATTTTGCCACCTTAATTTCTTCTGCCTCTGTTAGGTCCCTCCCATCTTGGTCGTTTATTGTGCCCATCTTTGCATGAAACGTTCCCTTCATATCTCCAATTTTCTTGAAGAGATCTCTGGTCCTCCCTACACTATTATTTTCTTCTATTTCTTTGCACTGTTCATTTAAGAAGGCATGCTTATCTCTTCTAGCTATTCTCTGAAATTCTGCATTCAATTGGGTGTATCTTTCTCCCTTGCCTTTCGCTTCCCTTCTTTCCTCAGCTATTTGCAAAGCTTCCTCAGACAGCCATTTTGCTTTCTTGCATTTTCTTTTCTTTGGGATGGTTTTAGTTGTTACCACTTGTGCAATGTTGTGAACCTCTGTCCATATTTCTTCAGGCACTGTATATTTATAGGATAAGAAAAAGCTTCAATAATCGATAGCCAGACTGGAATTTTCAAATAACATTGCCTTTTAGTCTTCTCCCAGTTTAACCACAGAGACTCCTGTTTATATTGTCTTCAAAGTACCCCTGTCTTTTAGTTCCTTTATACCATAAAAAAGCATGCCACCCCAACAACAGATCATATCCTTCTAATGTCAAAAATCTAGCATTTCTTAATGTTATCCATTCCTTAACCCACATCAGATTTGTAGCTTGATAATACAACTCCAATTAGGCAAACCAAATCCTCCTCCTCTTATTCTCACATCTTGCAAAAGTTTTAACTTTATTCTCGCTTTCTTTTCTTACCGTATATATTTCAACACAATTTTATTTAAATCTTCAAAATAATCTTTTCCAAGCCTAACTGGAATTGTTTGAAACAAATATAAAATTCTGGGTAATATATTCATCTTGATTGTTGATATTCTCCTTATTAATGACAGTTGTAAATTTTCCCATTTTGCCAAATCTAGCACTATCTGCTGCTTAAGTTTAATATAGTTATTCTCTTTTAGTGTACTACATCTTGCTGTCAAATGTATACCCAAATGCTTGATCTTATTCGTGACCTAGATTTTTAATACATCCGCCAGTTCTTCCTTTTGTCTTGAAAACATATTCCTTGTCAAAATCTTTGTTTTGTCTTTGTTTATTTTCAAACCAGCCACATTCCCATATACCTCTATCTTTTCTATCAATTTTAATGCTGTTTCTAGTGGGTCTTCTAAGATGAAAACCAGATCATCTGCAAAGGCTTGCAGTTTAAATTCTTCATTTTTAATTTCCATCCCTTTTGTGTCCTTTTCTTCTCTAATATTTCTGTTTAGCACTTCCAAAGTTAACACAAACAACAAAGGTGACAGTGGGCACCCATGTCTTGTTCCTTTTCTTATATCAATAGAGTCCGTTAATTCTCCCTCTATTATTACTTTTGCTGTTTGCTTATGATATATAGCTTCTATTACTTGGATGAATTTTTTACCAAAACCCATCTGTTCCAGCTGTAATAACATGAATTGCCAATTCACATTGTCAAATGCCTTCTGTGCATCTAAGAATACCAAAGCCATTTATTTTTCAGGGTGCGCCTCATAGTATTCCAAAGTGTCCAAGATTAATTTGTCTCTTTGGCAGAAATCCATTTTGGTCAGAGTGAATAAAATTATTTAGGTATTTTTTAAGTCTTTCTGCCAATATTGAAGCCAAAATTTTATAATCTGCATTTAGTAGGGAAATAGGTCTGTAATTGTTGATTTGTAATGGGTCAGCCTCCTCTTTGGGGGTAAGTATAAGCTTATCTCTTTTGGGATAAGTATAAGCTTCTGACCATGATTTAGGTATCTTCTTCTTTGACATATCTTCATTCATAACTTCTAGCAATGGAAGATTCAACGATTCTTGTAGTGTTTTATAAAATTCTGCCGGCAGTCCATCTGGGCCTGGTGCCTTTCCATTGTTTTGCTTCATAAGTGCTTCAGTTAACTCCCTCATCATTATATTACTTTCTAACATTATTTCAATCTCTTTAGGTATCTGGGGTAGGTTAGCATTCTGTAAGTACTGTTTAACTCTTTCATCATCAATATTCTCTTGTGTATATAGTTTCCCATAATAGTCTCATATAATTTCCTTCTTCTCTTTACTACCATAGCAAACTTGGCCTTAATCATCTATTAATTGCAATATTTTCCTTGATTCTTTCTCCTTTCTCAATTTATATGCTAACCATCTACCTGGTTTATTTGCATCTTCAAAGTAGTTCTGTTTCGTGCCTCTGATTTTCTGTGCTAATTCTTCTTTTTCCATTAATCCCATTTTATGTTGAATTATATCCATTTTTAACTTAATGTCCTTTTTCTGTGGCATTTTCTGTAACTCTTTTTCAAATTCTTTATACTCATCCTCTAATGTCTTAGAGGCTAGTCTTTTCGTGATATTTTTTTTCCTTGTATAGTCTGTTATCAAGCCTCTGGCATATGCCTTCGTTGTATCCCATACATTCTGCATTGATGTGTCTTCTTTTTTATTTTCTTTAAAGAAAAAAGCCAGTTCTTTCTCCATCCTCTGTATGAAGTCATTTTCTTTTAATATAGTATTGTTTAACATCCATCTAGATCTTCTTCTTTGTCCTTTCCATTTAATTGTCATTGGATTATGATCTGCCCAAATACTTGTTTCAATATTTATTTCTTGCACATTGGCTAACAATTCTGTTGACATCCATATCATATCTATTCTGGACCATGATAAATGTCTGTTTGAATAGAAAGTGTATTGTTTAGTCTTAGCATTTTTTTCTCTCCATGCATCTTTTAGGTTTATTTCATCTGTCATTTTAAAAAAGGATTTAGGGAGAGTCTTTCTGTTTTGCTTTGTTGTGTTCTGTGTTGCATAGTCCAATTTATTGTCTACAATTCCATTGAAATCTCCCATCATAATGATATTAGTATAGTCCAGTTCAGTTATTTTCATATGTAGTTTTCTATAAAATTCTTCTTGATTGTCATTTGGGGCACAGATTGCAATCAGGAATGTTTTCATGTTATTGTCCATTATTTCCACCCTTAATACTCTTCCATCATCATCTGTATCGATCAATTTCGCTGGGATAATATCTTTAATGTATAAAACCACTCCTCTTTTCTTGCATTGTGTCAAAGAAGTAAACATTTTCCCCAATCTTGGCTGTATCAACAGTTGTTCATATTGCTTTTTAATATGTACTTCTTGTAGGCAGATTATATCAAATTTTAATTTCTCTAATTTATGGAAAGTTTTCCTTCTTTTAGCAGCTGAATTAAGTCCGTTGATGTTAATTGTAATCAGCTTTTTCTCTTCCATGTTTATACTTTACAATTAGGTTTAGCAGCTCTTGTAGATCTTGGTTCACATTGTTCCTTAACTTCCACCTTTCTGCCTACTGCACCTTCTTCTTTTTCAGTCGCTATTTGGCAATCCTCTTGGAATTCAATTAGTGACATTTCTTTTTCTGTCTCCTCCTCTCTCCCTCCAAAGTATTCAGTATAAAACGATTCAGCTTTCTCAATTGAATCAATTCTATGTCTCTGTTCTTGCCATGTGAACATTAAACCTTCTGGAATCAGCCATCTATAATTCACCTCTTTTTTTAACTAGGATTTTAGCCAGGAATCAGTATTCTCTTCTCATTTCTCTCACTCTTCTAGGCACTTGTTTCAGGACCACAATCTCCTTATCTTTATATTTCAATGTTTTCTCTCTTGCCACCTGTAATATTTCTGTTTTAATGGCTTTCTTTGTAAATCTGATGTGAACTTCTCTTCGTAAGCTATTTCTCATTGCATATCTTGTGAAGACTCGAAAAACCTCATCTATTTCATCCGTCATCTTCTCTTTGTTTATTTCCAGAGCTTCAACCAAGATTTCTATCATTATCTCAGCTTTGTCCCTTTTCTTCCTGTTTTGAAATCTGAGATAAAATTCTGATCTATCCATCTCCCATCTCAGCATCCCACTTTTATCTTGTTCAACCACCGTTAATCTGTCATCAATATCTCCAATCTTCTTATCTCTTTGTTTATCTTCTTCAATTTTTTTGAATTTCTCATCATACTTCATCATCATTTGTTGAATATTCTCCACCTTTTCAAAAGTTTTTTCTGTTCTCCTTTCAATATTCTCTGTTCTTGCTTGTATGCTTTGAATTCCTTGCATTATTCATCTGCAATGTCACCTTTTCCTGTTCTTTTTCTTGCTGTAATATCGTCTGTATTGAGCTTTGTCCTCCCGATGGTGAAGAGGAAGAAGTAGGAATTGAAGAACCAGTTGCTGTTAATTCCCTGCTCATTTCAGATAATTCAAAATCTTTAGGTTCTTCCAAACCTTAATCCACTTGTGAAATAGCCAATTGTAAATCCAAGTAAAAATAGTGGAAAAAAAGAAGCAAGATAGGAAAAAAAGGTTTCTTCAGGTTCTTGTATACCTTAATCCAATCTCTTAGTTAAATAGCAGTAAAAGCTCAAAAAAGGAAGAAAAAAAAATCCATAAACAGAGAAAGGAAAAATTGTTAAATCTTATAAAAGGCAGAAAAATAAAAAGTAAAAAACTAAAAAGAAAAAGGAATTAGGGTAAAAAAAAAGTAAAAAGGGTTTCAGTTCAACACCTTAATCCAATTAGAAAGTTGCAGGTATGAAAAAGTATACGAAAAAAAAAGCCACAAAAAAAAATATGGAGGGTAGATAAAAAATGCAGGAGAGGGAGAGAGAGAAAAAGAAAAATCCTATTCCCTTTTTTAAAAAAAGAAGAAGGAGGAAAACATTAATGCTAAGGCTTTTCCTTTAAGATAGAATGCAAAAGTAAAAATTAGGCTCCAAAAGCAAAAAGAAAGACAAAAGCAGGTTCCAAAAGTCCAGAGATCCAAATAACTATTACAAATAATAAGTTGATAAGGAAGGGGTGTGAGGAATAGCCCAACTTAAAAAAGAGAAAAAGAACACACTGCACCTATTTACTTATTTAAGGCTTTTGTTAATTTTTATAGCTCTCTTCTCTAGAATATTATCTTCTTTTTTTCTGTATACTTCAACACCAGACTCCAGCTACTGATAGAAACCCAGAAGAGCACCTGCAATAACACTCTCCCATGCTCTTCCCTCTATCTTATCAGACAGGCTCAAAGTCTTTGAAAAGAAGTCTGAATTCTTTCTCAGCTTTGTCTGGTCGAAAGAGAAAAAAAGAGAAACAATATTTCTAAACCTCTAGTTGGCAGTGTTACAAAGTTTCCTCCGTTTTCACTTTCCCCCTCCTTTTCCAAACAAATTATTATAAAAAAAGTTAATTAAAAAGTAAAAACGGTTTAAAAAAAAACAAGGCTAAAAGGGGATCTCTAGCCTAAAATATTGTAAAGACAAAAAGGAGAAGAAACAAAAAGGAAAAATAAGATAGAAAAAAAGACCAGTCCAGTTCAAAGTAAACAAACCGTATAGAGTCCAGCAAAAAAAAAATTAAAAAAATTAACTTGACTTCCCATTTGAAATCGCCACTTAATTACTTTTGTCTGAGATTGTACAGATTCTTTCTTTTCCTTAGGGTGTCCCTTTAAATCTTAAAGTAAAGAAAAACTTCTCACCAAAGAAGCACACTTTCTCTTCCTATCCTCTTTCATTTCGGAGCTGTCCCAACTTCAGCAGCTTTAAAGGCTGCCTCTTTGCCACTGGCAAAAAGAGCTTCTCCTGGATCTACCAGGGACTTTACAGTATCCCTGGGATCGACAGGATGTGCTCTTTACATTCACCGTCTCTTCGGGACGGTTTAGGTCTGTTTGGACTATCCAGGACAAAGATATCAGCAGCAATCTCAGACCTCCAAGATCGCATGCCGTGTCATCGAGATGCCAGCTCTGCCCCCTAGCATGATTTCTATCAAATGCTGATTTGTTGGTGATGATGAGGACTAGAATCTGTGTGGGAATTTTGAGATACACTCCCAGGATTAATTAACCATTGTCAATATTTAGCATTATTAACCCTACACATTTGGAATATTGAAGTGATGGTGGAACTATGAATAATTCTTAGAAAATATTAAATAATAGTATTTAGAGACTATAAATACAAGGCAGAAAGAAATGTTATTATGTCTAAATGAATTAATGGGGAAAGGAGAAATGAATTATGAAAAGAAATTAGCCCTGTTGAAGTTGGGGAAGTTGGAAGATTAGAATTACATATACCTATAAGTATTATCACTGTTCTTGCTGTTTAAAAAAGACTTGAATGCAATGTTCATAAAATATATTGAACATTAAAAAAAACTTACTTAAAAAAATGGTGGAAACATAGTTTGTTTGGGGGGCTTTGTCTCCTCAGTAGAAAACACGACTCACCACATGAATAAAGTCACCAACGTATTTCAAAATAATTTTAAGAGCTTGAACCAGCTTCTGGAACTCTTCATCTTCTGCAGAAAACTGATGTCCGAAACTCAAAGCACATATGACATTAGAAACCGCATTTAGTACTGAAAATGAAGGGTCAAATGGATGCCCTGCAAAGGAAGATATTTTATAATGAATCCAGTCTCTTTTGTTAACCTGTTTGTGCTAGAATCAGTATCATACGGCTGGAGTTTTCTCAAGGCAGGAGTTTTATACCATGGATATTCAGTCTATTTTGAAAACTTCCAGTGATAGTGAACCCA